ATGATCTATCCCCATTCATTATACCATTGGTGACCTCTTTCTGTAGATGAAAGGAAAATTACGCAAGTTAAACGTTTCGAAAACGAATTACAAACATACGTAGTCGGTTTCAAAGGTTCGGCCTCAAATAAAAATATTATAAAAACCAAAAAATTGCCCCCCTTTTTTTTGGGGGTTTCCCCCTTTATTATTCCATAAATTAAAAAAAAAAAAAACCCAAAAATTTTTCCCCAACCCCCCCCCCCTTTTTTCCCCCCCCCCCCCCCCCCCCCGGGGGCCCCCCCCCCCCCCCCCCCCCCCCCCCCCCCCCGTCCGCGGTTTTTTTTTTTTTTTTCCCCCCCCCCCCCCCCCCCCCTTTTTGGGTTGTTTCCCCCCCCCCCCCCCCCCCCCCCCCCCCCCCCCCTTCCCCCCCGGGGGGGGGGGGGGGGGGGGGGGGGGGGCCCCCCCCCCCCCCCCCCCCCCCTCGCGTTTCCCGCGCGCCGGGGGGGGGGGGGGGGGGGGGGGGGGGGGGGGGGGGGGGGGGGGCGCCCCCCCCCCGGCGCCGCCCCCGCGCGGGGGGGGGGGGGGGGCCCCCCCCCCCCCCCCCCCCCCCCCCCCCCCCCCCCCCCCCCCCCCCCCCCCCCCCCCCCCCCCCCCCCCCCCCCCCCCCCCCCCCCCCCCCCCCCCCCCCCCCCCCCCCCCCCCCCCCCCCCCCGGCCCCCCCCCCCCCCCCCCCCCCCCCCCCCCCCCCCCCCCCCCCCCCCCCCCCCCCCCCCCCCCCCCCCCCCCCCCCCCCCCCCCCCCCCCCCCCCCCCCCCCCCCCCTTTTTTTCCCCCCGGGGGTTCTTCCCCCCCCCCCCCCCCCCCCCCCCCCCCCCCCCCCCCCCCCCCCCCCCCCCCCCCCCCTCTTTCTCTCCTCCCCCCCCCCCCTCCCCCCCCCCCCCCCCCCCCCCCCCCCCCCCCCCCCCCCCCCCCCCCCCCCCCCCCCCCCCCCCCCCCCCCCCCCCCCCCCCCCCCCCCCCCCCCCCCCCCCCCCCCCCCCCCCCCCCCCCCCCCCCCCCCCCCCCCCCCCCCCCCCCCCCCCCCCCCCCCCCCTCCCCCCCCCCCCCCCCCCCCCCCCCCCCCCTCCCCCCCCCCCCCCCCCCCCCCCCCCCCCCCCCTCTCTTCTTTTTTTTCCCCTTTTCTTTTTCCCCCCCCCCCCCCCCCCCCCCCCCCCCCCCCCCCCCCCCCCCCCCCCCCCCCCCCCCCCCCCCCCCCCCCCCCCCCCCCCCTCCCCCCTTCTTTTTTTTTTTTTTTTTTTTTTTTTTTTTTTTTTTTTTTTTTTTTTTTTTTTTTTTTTTTTTTTCTTCCCCCCCTTTTTTTTTTTTTTTCCCCCCCCTCCCTTTTTTTTTTTTTTTCTTTTTTTTTTTTTTTTTTTTAAAATACGTATCGAGCTCTAGACCACACGCATTTGGAGAAAACTGTAACATTATTTGTATGCTAAATAATTGTACTAAATTTTCCATATTGACAAACACCCAGTTATTTCTTGACTCTCTATCTAGGATATCTGTCTTCCTTGGGTATCTTGATTTGATAAGCCCACCTCAAAAGTGACCTACCGCGAGCGCCTGTCCCTTTATCGCTCCCCTGCACGACGTATCCCTCTATGAAGACCTTTATACATGACCACGGGACCCAGGAATGTGAGTCATGAGTGTCCACTCTGAACGTTTGAAGATACAGCTTACTTATAACGACTTTACGTTACGTTGTTACTTAACGAACCGAAATATCAAGTTATAAAAACTTTTATTTTCTTCGCGTTTAACTCTAATTCGTGGAAAACCGAATTTAAAAAAAATCTGTGAGAACCAACGAATAAAGCTTCCTCTCCTTGCCCAAATGCGTTGTATGCCGTATGACATACCCGTTTCAGTAGGTTTTAAACTATGCACCTGAATCGTCCTTCATTAAAACAATGAGAGACAACAAAGAGTCTAAAATTATATTCTGGCCGCGCCATTGTTTCCAAATGATAAACGCGTAATAAGCATATTGCGATCAGAAGTATTGATCTGCAATTATTCGTGGAAAACCAAGCTATTACTTTGAACGTATGTAGTATCATCGATATTATCTATAGGCGAACAAAGCCAGATAGAGTCATTACCATATAGCATTTTATAGCAGTCAATTAAGGTAATTATGTGTATAGTAGCTTACATGAGTTTGGTAAAATATTAATTTCTAATATAGAATGAATTTACGTCTATAAGAAATATCCTGGTGACTAGTTAAGAATTAAGATTCAAGATTTCCATTTAAGTACTTTCGTATTTTTTTACTTTTTTTTGTTACGTTGAGTGATGATTCCTACTTATGCATGTAAAATCATTTCTTTTCTTCACAAATGTCTATAATAATTTATTAAAATGTTTAATAATAATCAAAGTCGTAAAATTGGTAAGAACAGTTTCTTTAAACCTAGTATCAGTAGAATTAAAGTAAAAATAAGATAAAGTCAGAACATTCTGTATCGC